CAGGCGAGGGGAAGAGACCTGAGAAAGCCTTGCAGGTCTGATTCATAGCCTCCTGAGCCCAACCTGCTCAGGTGAGCTGCATCAGGGAGGAATCTCAGCGCCATCCCTTACTTCCTGAAACAAAGAAGGTAAACAACCAAGAAAGAGAAACAGAATAAGGCCGTCTCACTAGAAACAACGCCACAAAGTAAGCAAGTTTAGCTTATTAGAAGCAATGAAAACTCAGTTATTTAAAATATACTTTATTAAAATAAGTACTTTGGTCACTTTATTGATCTGAATTTAAGAGTTGTACCTTAATCTGAGTTCAATAGAAACCAAGTTGGGGAGCACGACAACATCTGAAGTCTGCTTCAGAGGACAAATCCACCCGGTACGTTTCCTTTCCAACAGAATACGGCATTGAAAACAAGACTCAGTGATGGTACAAATGAAATTCTTTTAATGCATATTAGCACTTAGTTTTTGGATTTACAAATATAAACATTATCACATTCACCTGAGGTGATAGATTACATCACAACACACCCCAAAATACACACAACACCTACTGAATGGAGTTATTATTTAAACATAATGCAAATGAGTTATTTGCAAAAGTCTTTTCACTTGGTTGTTTGAGTCTGTACGGAGAGCCAGATGTGACGGAGCTGATGGTGAGGTGACAGTGATCAACTTCCTGCCACTGGTGTTTAACCACTGCTAAAACTGGATGCTGCGACAGGCTCCAACCACCCATAAGATATATTATTTGCAAGCATTATTTGACCCAGCTCTGAGACATCCATGTCAAGTTATTGAATAAATGAATAAATACAAACTGTAATAAAAAACAAAAATTAATAAATTAATGTTGAAATGTTGGCAAAAACCCGTCAAATACAACACTCAACAATTCCTAAAAAAAAGTATTCAGGTAAGTGAAGACATGAGGGTGTAACAGGAATCTGAAATTTGTTTTGTCATTATTTGAAATACATTCTTACATTTGGGAAGAATTTATGATAATTTAGTCAGATATTTATTACTGTACATGTTATTTTTGTCCGATGCTGAAGTTATAATAATGTCAAACACATTTTGGCACATCGAGGACGCTGTTGTATGAAGGCAAACTGAGGGAGGGGACAATGTTTCAGTTCACATGCCATACAGTCTCTCTGTGATATTTAGCTCCTGAGACACTGTAAACTCATGAAATGATGCTTGTATAAAAATACTGTGTTTTCAAATAATTAAAGAATAAAAATAGACAACCCAACAGCCAATTACAAGCACGTCTTTATAAAAAGTACAATCTCAACACAAATACATGCATGCTATTTCCTCTGTATCCGTCCAGTGAATGTTTATCACCTCCTTACGTTAGAGTCCGTCTAAGATCTCCGTCCAGAAATCCGTCTCTCGCTTCAGTTCGTTTAGTGTGACACTGATTCAGAGATTTATCACAGGACCGGTTTAAAAAGGAAAAAAAAAAAACTTGTTCCATTAAGTGCAAAGAGAGTCCGACAATCCTTTCCGTCCTGTTAGGAACTAGCTTGACTTCTGCAGCAGTTTGTCCTCTTTCAGTCTGAACGGTACGCTCACAGACATCTCTGCGATGAACCGTTCGCACGCCGTCTTGGTCACCTGCTTGCAGAAGCGGAGGTCGATCTGACAGATGCTTCCACAGCGCTTGAAAAAGTTCAGGGAATGGTCTGTGACCCGGTTACAAACTGAAGGGAAGCAGAGAGAACAACAATCCGTCACAAGCTTGATACGTGTGAAAGGATATTCTTCTCTTTTCTTGATGCATAGTGTCCAGAAAACATACAAGATCCTAAAGTATAAGGAGATAATGCAAGTAGGACAAATGCAAATGATGTAGCAAACACTTCTACTGGAACTGGTCCCAGTAGGCAGACCCAGTTCATTTATTTACGATGAGGCAGGCAGCTACGACTTTCACCTTTAACTATATTCAATTCAAGAAGGGTTGCTTGGAATATAAAACTGATTTTTAAATATCTCTCCTCCTTTTGTCACAAATGCAAATGTCAAAAATGTAATTTCTTGGATCAATAAAGTGCATCCCCCATCGTTCATATTTCTGATTCTGAGATTAAGATCAGCTGTGATACACCTTCCCTGCAGTGCATTCACATACAAAAACCCACTTCCACTTTGGGAATGCACAGATTGGACAACTCTGCTTACATTGTCTATATCAATGAGAGTCCAGTATGAATAAACAACCACAGCCTTGTACCAGAGTTATTGTTTTGTTTTCATTTCCAATTTGTGTGCTTGTTTGAGTTTGGTTTTAATTTCAGTTTTAGGTTTTTTTAATTGGGTGGTACTTGTCAGAGGCAGGATTTAAGAAGTTCACAGTTTTAGTTTTACCGGTAACTTCAACAACCTCGCCTTGTACCTCTTCTTCCTGTCTATCCAGGTGCATCCAAACAGTTATTTAATTACCCGTGGCAGCAAATTAAGTACAGTCTCTGAAACAGCAAAAGCCATTCTGTTGCTGACCTTTCAATGGAAGACATTCTGATCTAAATAATAAAAATACATTATGGGAGAATTCAATTACCGTGTAAGTATCTGCTTTGGTTTAAGGGTCCTGGCATGCAGACCTGTCATGACTTACTGGGACAGTAAAGAGTGAGAGGAGAATGAAGCCATTGTTAATGTAACCATGCCTGAAAAAGCCCCTTGTTATGTTTTTATGTGGAGCATTAACTGAGATACACATAGTGGTTTTGTGGCTTTGCTTATGTTCACAAATTTGAGAACAAGGTTATTTATAGGACAAGAAGACATTCCGTTGGTTTTAGAGCCCGACCGATATGGGGCTTTTGAGACTGATACCAATTTTAGAGGGGGGAAAATTCCCTGATTCCATGCTTGCCACAGAATTGTAAATGGCAGCACACTCTGCTGGATAAACTCAGCAAAGACACCATAAATATCCACCAAGCCATTGTCATACGGTCATATCAAGATTAACACAACGCTGATGCAATACATCTGCCAGAGGCCAATATCAGCCAATAATATCGTCCGATTCTGATACATCAGGCTCTAATTGTGTGACCCAGAAACCCCCCAACTTAGATTACTTTTAAAAAAAAAAAAAAAAAAAAAAAAAAAAAATAATTAAATATATAATAAAAAAAGAAATATATAATAATATATATATATAGAGTTATATATATTATATATATTTTATTTATAATGTAAATATATGTTTATATATTTATATATTTATTGATATTATATTATTTATATTATGTATTAGTAAGTAGGTATCTGCCAGACACCTGTGTTCTCACAATATCGACTGGTTCCCCTGACAAAGAAAACCTGGATCCCATTAAAAACTGACTTGAGGGGCCTCAGATCTAAAGCATCTAACCTACTACTGTGTCACACCTGCCTGTCAGCCCCTGTAACATCTGAGGCTCCTCTGAACCTGTGTATTTCTAGCCGCTCAGGTCTCAGTTCTCACCTGACAGGTTGATTTCTGTGAGGGAGTCTCTGGTCGTGGTCCCTGCTGCGGTCAGCAGGTTCACGGACTGGTCGTTGATGTGGTTGCAGTAGCTCAGGTCCAGGTTGGACAGCAAAGGCATCTGCCGACTGATGAGACGTAAAGACGTGTCAGTGATGTCCAGCCCCGCCAAGCGCAGGTCCTCCACGTTCCGCAACTTGCAGCGGTTATCCAGTTGACCTGTCAGACAGTCATTTACAGAAGATCAGTTTTTGGTTTTTGGCAACATGACCCAACTCTAGCGCTTTGCTGACACACCAAGTTACCTGGTCTGTTGTCTGTGGGGGGAGAGAGGAGGTCCCTCATCTGTGCGTCCTTGAGTCCCTCCACCCACTGGACATCCAGGGAGCGCAGCAGAGGGCAGCTGGAGGTGCATAGCGCAGACACAGCAGCCCATGAACACCCCGATAACTTTAACACTCGCAGACCTGAAACACAGAGCAGCACTTTAAAATACTGATGCAGAAACCAGTGAAACCAAAAAATACAAACTATTCCTTGTCTATAGACCAAGAATCCGTCATAGTTAGGTACCTGGCAATCTGTTAATAAGCCAGCTTAATTGTTTCTTGGAAATGTTGGTCCAACTGAGGTCCAGGGAAACTGGCTGCCGGCGGATAATCCCACTTAGCATTAAAGGGGTGATGGAGGTGCAGCGGTTCAGATCGATCTTTGTCCAAAGTCTCTTATCACAACACCTAGACACCAGAAAGAAAGGTTTGTGTTGCATGTTATGTCTTTATGTTGCACTGTCAAAACAGAACAAATAAAAAACGCAAGCGTTAACTGCTCTATAATAAAAAGGTATTCTGTGCAGCCATATTGGGTTTCGCAATATCTGTGAGGTTGAACATGAAAATGTGAACGTGCTGTTCGCAGTGTGCTGCGTATTCACCATCTGTTCCACGTCTTGCAGACCCTCATGCAGACACACAGCTCCTGGTGTGTGAGATATCCAAAGATCTTCATCCAGACCTCGCGCTGTATGACATGCGTTTTGCCATCTTTTAGAGGCAGTCTGTCGGGAGGCGGGCTTATCGGAGGGGGCCGGATGACGTGCCGCTCCATTTGGACGCATTTGGGCGGGGAGTGTGGGGGCACCGGCCGGTTGGTCGGGGTGCTCCGGTTGAAGCCCAGCGGAGTGATCTGACTTGGGTAGAAGTGGCGCAGCTCCCACGGGGTCCCGTTCATCTCTTTGGTCTTGAGGTGGGGCCTCTGATCCCCGAGCTCACTGCCGTTGCGGAACAACCTCTTGGGTTCCTCGTTTTCCGTCTCCGGCTCTACCTTGAGGGGTTGGCGGTTCTCGTTGGCCAGGCAGTCCTCGGTCTTCTGGATTTCCTGGTTCAGTGCTTTGCTCAGCTCTCGGCTCAGCTCTCTGTTAGGTAAACGTCGCTTACGGCGAGCTTTTGGACGCGGGCCCTTTTCCTGGGTCTCGCTTCCGCCCTCGCTGCTGGGGCCGGCCTGCGGGGAGCTGCAGTGAGACTGGTCACTGTCTCCAACAGGCGTTTTAATGAAGGAATTCAACAGTTCATTCTTGGACTCTCTGTCGTCCCCTTCTTCTTCCGCGTCTACAAACCGGCCTTTCCTCTCTAAACCACGGAAGTGAGGCTCCCTTCCTTCCTCATTCTCCTCCTCGTATGCGTCTTCGTCCTCCTCTTCTGTCTTGATGTGTTGCAGAAGTTTTGAAAAATAAGGATCGTCTGACTTTTCCTGCAGAAGAAAAATGGTATTCAATTTTACTTACAGTACTTTGGTACGTGTAGAATTGTCCCAAACACTCAAAAATGTCCCAAAAAAACTGATACAAACCTTCTTCCTCACACTGAGATCCTCTTCCTCATCATCCTCAAACAGCTTCCTCTTCTTCCTCAGTTTGTCCTCAGGCCTGGGCCGGGGCAGGTTGCAGGGAGAGAGCAGCGGTGGCTGTCTGTGCAGAGACTCCTCTGGTCTGTACCTGGGTGTCTCCTCTCTGTCTGGCCTCCTCTTGGCTGCAGAAGAAACGTCCCCTTCCTCCTTCACAGGCTTCTGTTCCCTCAGCAGAGAGCCGGGGAGGTTGGAGGCATACTTGAACCCTGGACCCCTTTTTTGCTTCAATACCAAAGGGGACAAAAAATTGCGAGACAACTTTATACCTTTAGCCTATCACAACGAGGAAAACCAACTGTGCTACAAGTGTACCTACAGTTTAATAAACTCCTCACAGTGACAAAAATACATCACAGTGTGGTTTCCTGCTTCTGTGACAAACAGTCACATGTGAATGACTTTGACAAACTAGAAAAGTATAAACAGGAAGTGGTAAAACATAAATTGAAATGCCCAAAGCAATACTGAGCAACCGTTATCTATACCAAACTCTGAAATCTTTAGTAGTAATTATAAAAATACTTTCAACAAGGTCTAGTAAGCTGTTACATAATCTAGATCCTGTGACTCACGCATATTTGTACTCACTTTTCCACTTTTCCCAGCATGGTTGCATTTGGGACATTCCCAGCAGTTAGGGAGCTCATCGTTCACCACTCCTGAGGCATCGCTCACCTGATAAACCCACAGAAGACAATCAGGCCAGACTTCAACAAGAACAACAGGCTGTAATGGAGTCCTGTGTAGAGCTTGTTTAACACAAACAAGACAAGGGAAGTGAAAGTGACTGTTGTGACGTGTCCTTGTTTGGCAGGTCAGCACAGTCTAACCTCAGCCATAGTGAACATGCAGACTCTCGCTTCATGCATTCAATAGAAAGGAGAAGTTAAAGACTCCTACTAGAAGAACTTAGATGTGCACTAATGCATGACTAATAACTGTAATTGTTGCATTTGGATAAAAGATATATAATACTTTAGATGCTGCATCCTGCAGAAAAACTAGACAGTGCTTGTCGGAAAAACTGGTTTGACCGCGCCTGTGCTAGCAACAAGCTGTTGTGTTTTTGATACAACAGTTACAAACAGGGTGTGTGCTGCTTTACATCTTGTTTTGCTTCTACCACACAAAATGCTTTTGGCACCACAACTAGCAAGGCCAGCGTCTTGCATCCTTTTAAGGCTATAAACTACAATTTTGGCCATTCAGTAAATGCTTTAAACCCGATCACTTGTTTTGCTTGAGCATGTGGTCGGAGACAAATCCTCAAACATGAGTGGTGTCACACTCGAGCCATAAAAACTTTGGAACCACATAAGAACGATGAATGTGTTCAGTGTTATATAAACAACACTAATTACTTTCGGTGCCTACAGTGCAACCGCCTGAGTCACTCACATTAGGTTACGGTGTCTTGGGATTCCTGGCACATTACTTTAACACAAATGAGTCAGCGGGTGAATGACTAGACTGACGTTCCCAGCCCGGACCTCCGTACCTTGAGACAGTTGGGATGGACGATCTCGTTGCAGATGGAGCACTCCATCAGCATGAAGTTGAACTTGTCCTCCTCTTCCTCCAGTGTGTCCTCCTTCCCTGCCTCTTTACACACCACACACACCGCCGTGTGGGGCAGAACCGGCTGCATGGATGGAGAGCACATCAGGTATTTGTTTAACACACAGGAACTGATGCAAAAAAAATCTCTATTTGTAGAAAATGTGTGTGTGAATGTTTTCCAAAAATGCAAATGCCAATGTGAAAGTGCAGCTAACTTACGGCGATGCACTGTCTCATAATGCAGGACTGCTTCATGCGCCCCGGCCCTCCAAACTTCTTCATGTCCTTGCAGAAGTGACACTCTCCACACTCGGTCCGGAGGCACGCCTCGCACTTTCGGCAGCGCGTCCTCCTGCGTCTGGCTCCGGATGAGCTGCGGTTGGACGGCAGCTTGACGCCCGACGACGTCCCCATCTTGGGCTTCGGCCGGTTGGCCGCCCGCTGCTGGAAGACAGACAGACAGTTTCTGTGAGTGGAGGGGTGCAGCATACTGTATATTAGTTAGCTCATCTGTATTGAGCTGCTTTAGCACAGAATCAGGACAGATGTCACAATGATGCTTGACAGTTGCACAATTAATCTAAATATTATGGAGAATATGGCCAAGAGCAATATCAAATTGCAGAAGCTGCTATTTTTTTTGACAAAGGTCAACTGTGTGAGGAAACAGCAATAAAGTACTGGAGGATTTTAGTATCACAGACCTCAATAAATGTTGAATCGTCATGATTTTATAGTTGTGATGCAAAAAATGATCATTCCCGCTAACCGTGAATCATATCACAATATGATTATTTTACAGTACCATGCAGCTCTACAACACAATATGCAGATGATTCATCTCTTCGTTTCAGTCACGACAGACTGTTACTGCTGCTTTTTAACAGCTGCAAGTCAATTTAAAAGGTAATTCCTTTTTCTAACTTCCTGTGTATTTCTCGCTTGTGATGGAAGCGATAGATGAGAGTGCTTTCTCGATAAGTGATTATTTAGTCTGCAAAATAGACTATTACAGGCTATTCCCCAGAGCCCAAAGGGGACGCCTTCACACGCTCAGCAGTCTAAAAAGCCAAAAAAAAAATCTATTTAAATTAATATAAATATGAGAATAGCAGCAAAATATTCACATTTGAGAATCCAGATGTTGCAGATGCTTGAATGATTAATCAGATGATATCAAAGCAGCTGCTGATGAATCCCTGACTGACTGTTTCAGCCCTATCTGAGAATCTGATGGCGGGAGTTATCGGATGAAAAACCACACAATTATGTAACCTGTAAAAGTGCAACCTGCTGCACAGCTCTGACCTTTCTGGTGACATACACACACACAACACTCTCTGTCTAGTGACTCACGTTGATGGTTAGCTCAAATGAAAGGAGAAGGCTAACCTAGGTGGATTAACGACCACACACAACAGTCACACACACACACACAGCACACGCACACACCCCAACACACACACACACACACACTCACACTCTATTATCCTAAATTTTCATCTGTGAATTTCTCGTATTTATTTTTAGTCTCTTCCCTGTTGCCAAGGCAGGAGTGTAAAGCACTGTGAAAATAAGACAAAACTCACAGACCATTACGGCGTTTCTTGTTCTAGCGGGAGAGGTTACCTTGGCAACACGTTTGCCTTGCTGGTGGCAACTGTTTGAATAAAAGACGACTGCGAGAGATGGATAAAAATAAGCTCACAGCGGGGGGGGGGTATGTTTCAGTGTGAAGCTGTGAGCACTCTCCTGATTTAAGTATTTAATTCTCATTCTACTACGACTGATTCACCACGACTTACTACAAAGCACTTACAGGTTGACTTCTATTCTAGGTAACAATGCCAGAGCGCCGTGGACGAGTCAAACAGGTAAAACTAGACGAAAATAGAACAAGACATTCCAGGGTGACAACAATTTGGACTCAAGCTTCCCGGGTGAAATAACAACCATTAACGTCCCCATTTAGATTCCCCCCCCTCAGGAGGATTTTAGAAAAGATATGTTCTTTTAAATTGTATGTTTTTCCATCACAATAGGCCGTTACTGAGGGAGAATTGAGTCGAGATGGGGAATAATCCATCTGACAGCTTTCCATAAATCCATCTGACTGCCGTGGAAATATGAGAGGGAGACATCAAAAGGAAGGGCTGCTGCTGCTGCTGCTGCTGCTGCTGCTGCTGGGATGACTGGCAACATCACACCGTGTTTTTTAGTTCAGCTTCCTCGTTATTTTCCTGACCTTGTCTGACACGAGCAGTAGTCTGGTGTGCAGAGCCTCGGCTAAAAAAAACCAAAAAACTCATTTGAATTAAAAATCCCAATGCAAAGTTTGCACCACAACAAATGTTCCACTCCTCGGACCATCTACCTCGCAACCTGACACCGATTACAAGGAATAAAAAGCATTCAATTGTGGCTACAAACAAATCCACCACGGGGCCACTCATCGCACACAGCGTGGCCCCCGAAGCAACCATCAGCTGACCCGTCTTTACTGTAACTCTGTGCAGTAATATGTCAGGAATTTGGGATTGTTCCTGAGGCCTGTGAACAAAAACATGGCCTATATTGTGAGCGCAGTCTTCTGACTCAGGCTCAGTGTGTATTTCAGTGGGAGGGGAAGTCACAAGGCTCATCATTTGCTCTCTCGTGTACAGAGCAATCCTCAACACCAATAAAAGAGCGTGTTACAGTCTTCAATGTGTCACAGCAGAAAGAAAAACACTCTCTCTGATGAACTGTTGGTGGGTGTTGTGGGAATAAACATTGTGTAAGAACAAGGAGCTGGCTCTCATGTCAGCACTACTCATATTTCTCCTGAGGTGTGCACAGGCCAAGTGTCTAATGGAGACTTGTGCAACATCCCACGAGCCCTGTGAGAAAGCATTCATGCAGCGGACGCCAGTATAGATGCACCAAGTCAAAACAAGCTTCTCGTCCTCTCGAAGAAATCCTTTTTCCAGGGAGTTTTACCGTCACATTAAAAGTTAGAACTTGCTCACAAATCTGTGAAAGCTCAGACTAAACATACAATTCAACAACTTAGATTATTTCCAGGGTATTTAAAACTAATTTCCAGCTAAAACTTCTCACATTAGGGGGGGGGGGGGGGGGCCCTGCAAAACTTTGTCCTGTGGAACCTCGTAAGAAGATCTATTGATTTAAACATCAAAATCAATGTATATTCCTGCTTCTGGAGCCAAACAAGAGGACAAATATCTGTTGAAATCAAAACCCATCATCATTTCTTATTTATTTTTTTTGTCTCAGGGGGGTTTGAGGGGTCACCGGACCC